CGAGCTAGAGAGAGAAATTGATTTGGAACAGATTCGGAAGAGGAAGTCGGATGAGATTCAGACAGTTTCGGGTTCGGGAAAAAGGCCGAAAGGGATCGGATTGAAGATTGATGGATTATTAGGACCACAGCCGGTGCGGGAAGTGTGGCAGGGCGCACGGGGGCGCGTGCAGGAGTGGTAGCGGTGGTGAGTCTGGCTGCTTCAAGTGTGGTTGGGCTGGTCATTTTAGCAGAGATTGTACTGCTACCATCACACAGGGATCCAATTTGTTATGTTTTCACTGCAACCAGCGGGGCCACAAGAAGGCCCAGTGCCCCAGTTTGTTTTCGGTAGGACGGGTGATGGCACCTGCCCCTGCAACTTTGAGGATCACAGACGACCGTCAGGGCCGCGCGGAGGCGCCTGCGGTAGGAGGCAGGGCTTTTCATATGACTACCCTGGAGATGCGAGCAACACCGGATGTTGCAGGTATGCGACTTCTGTTTTCAGTTCTTTTATTTGTGCATGATTATATTGTTATGGTTCTGCATCATTATCGGTATGAGTATTTTCTTTTATGTGGCTTGTTGTGATCGAGTTATATGCCATATACATACCTTGGATATGTGAATGGTAGTTAGGGGATGTGCTCTATTGGAGAAGGTTTCTTAGGATGCAGTAACTGTAGCATGACTGGGAGGGACTTGGTATGTCTCGCTAGTTCGGAGCTGTATAGTTTCAGAAAGAGACTAGTTAGATCCCTAGCTATAGTAAGCTTGGGGTTCCTCAGCAGATTGATTATGGAATGGTAGCAAGGATTGGGATTTCTTTTCGAGCGTTGAGCAACGAGGTGTAAGCGGGATCGAAGTGGGAGAGGATCCTCCAAGTGTTCAAGGGTAAAAGCACACAGGTCCAGAATGAGTACGCGATCTCTGAGAAGGAAAAGAACTAGTACAACGTTCGATGGTTAGTATGTGGTTGGGAATCTCGGTTAAAGCATAGTAGAGCGGCGGGACAGCCGCAGCTTCCTCCAGCAGTGGTCAGTGGTGGAGGGTGATGTAAGACTGCGGGTAAGCCATAGAATTCCATAGTAGCTTCGTTAGCGGAGTTGGGGCGAGGCCCTTATCTCCTAGTGATCAAATAGGGATTTGGAATGGGTAGTGGGTGAGAATAGTAGGGAGTTGCCTGTATTTCCCTAGAGAGGTGAGACCTTGAGAGAGGCCGCTCCAGGACGTAGTTGGGTGAGACCCGTGGGAGAGGCTCGTATGAGAGTAGCAGGTGAGACCTGAGAGCAGGGTTGCTCAGTAGTATGGTTGGGTGAGACCCGTGGGCGAGGCCCGTGCGAGAGTGGTTAGACAAGTGAGACTAGAAGGATAGAGGCAGGTGAGACCCGTGGGCGAGGCCCGTGATTTTTTTAGTAGTAGCATAGGTGAGACCTGGTAGGGACCGTAGTGTCGAATAGGGGATCGAGGATCCCAGGAATGTAGTGCCTGAATGATAGAATAGATTGAGCAGTTATAGGTAGTCGAAGTGCCTACGAAAGTCGCTGGGAGTGACTAGGAGTTGTGTTGGGACTAGTGACCGGTGAGAGCCGGTAATCCAGATATTAATAGACTGGTAGGGACCAGGGTGGTCTCAGTTCATCCGGAAGGCAGATAAGGAATAACAGAATTTTTCAGTCAGTAGCAGTGCTGGTAAGCAGTCTAAGGTGGAATTCATTAGTGGATCATGGGGTGCTCAACACCAAAGTATAGTAGAAAGAAATGACCAGTGGGTACTGGCGATAATAACCTGTAATGGAGGTAGCGGGAGGAATGGATTTGGTGAAGGATAGGACCTTCACAGTGACAAAAGAAATAGTTGGTTATGGAACATCGCGTTGGGAAGGCAAGAAAACGCACAAGAAAGAGGGGGGGTGAACCCCTATGGGTTCAGTTGCAGTACTTGGACAGTACCAGAAGGATTGTCGGTTGAGTAAGTTGTGTTTCTAGTATGTTCAGGGTTAGGGTTGACCCGAGATTATTATTATCTGCAAGGATTAATGGCCTTCAGGAGGATCGGGCGAAAGGCCAGCGAAGGTAGGCAGCGGGTGTTGGATTAATAAGTAGAGTGCTCGAAGCAGATCACATGCGGTTGGCCAGAGGAAACTTCGAGGATGAAGTTCAGTTTAATTGCGGGAGAGTTGTAACACCCTAAAATCAGGTAGGCCAAGAAGGAAAGAAAACCCTAAGTCAAAGGGTCAACTCGGCGAGTCCGAGTGGGATCCGGGTTCAGGAGTTAGTGACCGACTCGGCGAGTCGGCTAAGGGGACTCGGCGAGTCTGGTATGAGCGAGGAAAACCCTAAATCCCGGACTTGGAGCCTATTTAAGCGTCTCATTCTCTTCCCTAGAGTTCCTTTACTGCCTCTCTAACCCAGAACACCGAACCCTAAGCCCCATTGTTACTCTTTCAAGCTTCTAAGCCATTTTGGGGTGATTTGAAGGAAGAGGGAAGTAGGAAATCATTGGAGCTTCAAGAATTGGCCTTAGATCCAGAGCTTGTGGAACCTTTCAGAGTTATTGAAGGTACTAAGTTGTTTCCTTCATTTAGATCTATTCTAGTTATGAGTTTTGGGGCTTTTAAGCCATGTTTATATATTCATATGAGTTAGAAGCCAGATCTGAGGTTGCTACTTCGGATCTATGCTTATTTTGGCCTAGTGAAGCATAAAGTAACTGTCCTTGAGTTGATTATAGAGGCTCCTTACCTTAAACCCTAGTTTATGGTGTGTTTAGCCTAGATCTCCTTCTCTACACGTAAATTTTGCAACTTTACCTGAGGAATAGGCTTGGGAAGGGCAGATCTACAATTTGGAGTCCATGCATGTCTCAAAAGCCCTCTGCATGTATGAAGATTTGAATGGACTCGGCGAGTCCTTTGAGTGGACTCGGTGAGTAGCATGAAGTTAGGCAGGAACTCGGCGAGTTGGAAGAACAACTCGGCAAGTATGATGAAGATTGCCTTGGACTCGACGAGTCAAGTCGCAAAACCCCAAACCCTTCGAGTTAAGACTCAGATCAGTGAGTTGAGTGGGGACTCAGTGAGTTAGACAGGCCAGGACTCGGAAATCGATGAACTTGGTGAGTCAGCAGGCAGACACGGCGAGTAAGGTTGACCTTGACCAAGACTTTATTGTTAACCAGAGTTGACTTAGTTGACTTTTGGGGGATAGTTGGACTAAGTGTTGCATTGATATTGGTAGCTTAGGGAGCTAGTGGAGCAAGAGTTCAGAGAGTTGTCGGGCAGCAGCTAGAGGGGTTATCAGCAAGTTCAGCAAGTGCAGGTGAGTTTCCCTTTGTGTGAATGGGTCTAAGGCCACAATGCCGGCCCATGTAGAGACAAGCAGGAAAACCCGGGGGTCAGCCCTAGGCACAATATGCTAGTATGATATTCAGGACGAGGTCCAATGATAGTGGGCGGGTTCCCAAAGAATGGTTTATATGTTAGTTTATACTTGTTGTCTGTGTGATACATGTATGTGTCTGGTAGGGAGGTGAGTGTGGGCGAGGTCCCGTATCTCACCAATAGTAGAGTGTGGATGGTGTTCCACATCTCATTAGCAGCAGAACAGGGGCGAGGCCCAAGTTAGGGAAAGAGTAAGTGTGGGCTGGGCTCGTATCTCACTATCAGTAAGGGAGTGGACGGGGTTCCATGACTCATCAGTAGCAGGACAAGGGCGAGGCCCAAGATAGGCGAGGCCTCAGGACAGGATTTGTGAGTATATGTTAGCTTATGTGTTGTTATATGCTTATGTGCTATTATATGTTAGCGGGCGGGGCCCAGTGACAGGCGAGGCCTAAGTTAGACAGATCTGTATCTGAACGGGGCTCGAAGCCAGGCGGGGCCTGGAGCGGCGGGGCTGTTGTAGCGGGCGAGGCCCAAAATAGTGGGTGTGGCCCAATATGTGCAGTATGTGGTTATGCATGGTATGTGGTAAGGTGGGGAACTCACTAAGCTTTGTGCTTACGGTTTTCAGTTTTGGTTTCAGGTACTTCCGGTAGCGGAGGGAAGAGCTCGGGGTGATCGCATGGCACATACCATAGATTAGACAGCCTGGGAATGTTTTACTCTGATAACGAACATGTGTTTTGGAAATTAATACTCTGTTTATGTTTTGGATTGATGATTTTGCTTTAAGTAATGTTTTATTAAAAGAAATTTTTAGTCTTGAATTTTGGATCGTTACAAATCTTCTTGACTGCAAGTATTTAGAGATATAAACAAAGTTTGAATTTATAGGAAGATTTGAACAAAAATCCCAGCCTTTGAAAATTTAAATTTCCTAGGAAGTTGAACGGATGTGATTTATCTAGATAAAAGTTTCATGTCCTATTATAACGACATGATTTCAAGTTTAGAAATCTCCATCTTCCAAGATCTTGAAAGAAAAATTTCCAGGGGCAATTGCTATGGATATTATTTTGTAGTTTTATTTTTATGTTTGATCATTGACTAACATCATAAGTAGCCCAAGATCCTGAATAACCAGTGTCTTGGTATTACCACTGTATGTCTTGTATTTTTGTCATGCACGAAGATATGGGAAGATACAAGACACACTCCATCATTCTTACTAGCACTTAAAAACATTGCTCACAATCAGCTTGAACTTGTAAAACACACTCCTCTTTTTAATAATATTTTAAAGCAGAGTAACTTTAGTCACCTCCCGAGTTTTTATGTTAGATATCTTGAAGGATCAAGGGCTTTCCTCGTAGATCTTTGGTTGTAGCTTTGATATTAACATTAATATTCTCCATTATTTCAACTCTCAAACGTTTTAACACATTCATACTTTGCAGTTTTTCAATCATTATCAAGTATCTACAATAAATCTCTTTCTACATTCCAGATACAATTAAGATTCTAAATATACTAACCAGACAAAACCCATGCAACACTTATGCGATAAAACCCATACAACACTTATTCGCATTTCTGTTTAAAAGATCCTTATCATATTCAAAATCTTTTGGAGCTAATGGAAAAAGATGTGGTGGCTGCAATTGGACCACAATCGTCAACTATCGGAGATGTCATCTCACATGTCGTCAACGAGCTTCAAGTACCCCTCATTTCATTCGGAGCAATCGACCCGACCCTCGCAGCTCTCCAATACCCTTACTTCCTTCGTATGACACAAAGCGATTACTACCAGATGTTCGTCATAGCCGACCTCGTAGAATACTTCGAATACAAAGAAGTAATCACCATTTTTGTCGACGATGATTATGGCAGAAAGGGGATTTCATTGTTAGGTGATTCACTCTCCAAGAACCTAGCTAAGATTTCTTACAAAGCAGAGTTTACACCAGGCGCATCGGAAACAGACATAAGCGAGCTATTAACATAAATTAATTTAATGGATTCTCGTGTTTATGTCGTTCCTGTAAAACCTGATTCGGGTCTCCAGATTTTTTCCATTGCCAAAAAGCTCAATATGATGACGAGTGATTACGTTTGGATCACTACCGACTGGCTTCTGGCGGTTCTTGATTCGCAAGAACCGCCAGATCCTGACGCAATGGGACTAGTACAGGGTGTACTGTCCCTACATCGGCACACGCCAAATTCAAATTACAAAAAAACTTTCATCACAAAATGGAAAAACATCAAAGAAAAGGAAACAAATAGTTTCAATTCATACGCGCTTTATGCGTATGATTCCGTATTTTTCCTCGCACACACGATCGATACATTCTTGAAATCCAACCCCAAAATCATGTTTTCTTCCGACCCGAAACTTCAAAACAAAAACAGGTCCCACCTTCAATTATCGGATCTTTAAACGTTTGACCAAGGTCAAAAGCTTTTAGAAACACTTCTCTCAACAAACTACACAGAACCGGCGAAATCCGGTTCGACCCGGATAAGAACCTAGTCCACCCAGCGGGCGTACGATGTTTTAAACATGGGTGGGACCGGGGTCCGCACGATCGGTTACTGGTCAAACTACTCGGGTTTGTCGGTCAACTCTCCGGAGACTTTATATAAAAAGCTGGCGAATAGTTCTACGAGTGCTCAAAGGCTTTATAGTGTGATTTGGCCTAGTGAAACAAGTGTGAAGCCACGTGGATGGGTGTTCCCAAACAATGGGAAGCCTTTAAGGATTGTGGTATCTTATAGGCATAGTTATAAATAGGTTGTTACAAAAGATGTTAGGTCTCCGGAAGGTGTTAGAGGGTATAGTATTGATGTTTTTGATGGTGCTGTGAATTTACTACCTTACCCTATGCCAAGGAAGTATATTCTATATGGAGATGGTGTATGGAACCCGAGTTATAGCGATCTTGTGGCTGCTGTTGTTGAAAATGTAAGTTCTTGCTTGAAATAGCAACATACTTACTTGGAATTGGAACCCTATCAATTTTAAAGTTTTTGAGCTCTTAATTTTGACCTCAAAAGTCAAAGTCTACAAATTTGATTTGCGATTTTTTTGCAGATATATGATGCAGCAGTTAGAGATGTTACAATTATCACAAACCGAACAAGAATAGTTGACTTTACACAACCTTACATGGAATTTGGGCTTGTTATTGTTGTTCCTGTTCACCATTGAAATGTGGCTCGTGACAGGTGCCTTCTTTCTACCTGTTGGGTTTGTTGTTTGGATTCTAGAACATCGTTTAAATCACGAGTTTTGTGGGCCCCCGAGCCAGCAAATCATTACAATCTTCTGGTTTAGTTTCTCAACCATGTTCTTTTTACATAGTAAGTATTGTATTGTCAAGATAAATGATGTTTAAAAAGTATTTGGAAAAATAAGGACATACTTGGGCAAATGTATAAAAAGGTCCTTGTGTTTTCTGATTTTTACCGTGTTTAGTCCAAAATTGAAACATTTCTCGGTTTGACCTTGAAATAAGGACCAAATTCAGAAAGTTCTTGAGACGAAAATGTTTCAATTTTGATCTAAACTCGATAAAATCAGAAAGTACAAGGACCTTTCTTGTAATTTACTTAAGTAAACAAGGACAAGTTTGTGAAAAGTTAGGGACTTTTTTTTTCGATATTAAATCGTAATTTCTCCGTTAAGTAAAAAAACAACCATGCAAGGTTCATATGAAACATTTTCTAGTTTAGTCAGAAAATCAAAACATTTTCTAGTTTTGGTCCTTAGTTCAAGGGTTCATATTAATTTTTGTCCTTGAACCAATAAGGACCAAAATAGAAAATCAATATAAAACCTTCAAATAAGAACTAAAATTGAAAAAAGTTTCAATTTTGGATCAAACATGGTAAATTTTGGAAAACATAGGGACTATTTTTGTAATTTACTCAAAATAAATGAAGATAAATTTGTAAAAAGTTATGACACCACGGAGAAAGGATTCTCTCCCCACCTTTTTCTAATTAAGCCCTTTATCATCTATTAAGTCAAAAAAACACATACATATTTAGCTTTTTTTTTTTTAGAGTAAATTACTGAAATCATCCCTGTGGTTTGATCAAAATTGCACGTTTAGTTCTTAACTTTTTTTTTGCACTCAGATCGTCCCTGTGGTTTGATTTTGATGCGTTTTTCGTCCCTGTGGTTTGATTTTGTTGCATTTTTTGTCCCTTACATACATAAAGTTAGGGATCAAACATGCAATTTTTACCAAACCATAGGGACGAAAAACACAACAAAATCAAACCACAGGGACGATCTGAGTGCAAAAAAAAAAAAATTAAGGACCAAACATGCAATTTTGACCAAACCACAGGGACGATTTTAGTAATTTACTCTTTTTTTTTTTTTTTTATCAATTATTGTTTCTTATTAGAATGAACCTATAAATGACTATTTTACCCTTTTGTCTAAAACTATATTAAAACTTTACCAAGTGAAATTTTTTGTAACGTGCAGGGGAGAACAAGGTTAGCACGTCCTGTTATGGCTTTTCGTGGTGTTGATCATCAATTCAAGTTACACAGCTAGTTTGACTTCGATCTTGACCGTTCAACAGTTGACTTCTGGAATCGAGGGTTTAGATGGCATGCTTGCAAGTAACAAACCAATTGGAGTTCAAGATGGCTCTTTTGCGTATAATTATTTGATTCAAGAACTTAATGTTGCAGAATCATAGTGAAGATTACCTAAATGCCCTTAGACTTTCTTTGAAGCTTCACACAAAAGATCACATCACACATGTTAATTTAATTACAAAGTTATTAAATTGACTTTTGACCAAAACATAAACGAATTCGGTTTGGGCAGAATCAATTTATACCCCATTTTTGCAAAATGATATGAGTTTACCCTATTTTTTGCAAAAGTAAGTTTTATAAGTTTACCTTAGTTTTGCAAAAAACTAAACCTTTAAAATTCCTTCACCCCATGTCTGCATCTAACATCTTTTTGAGTACATATCATCCAACTAATGCTGATGTGGCAAATCAAATAACAAATGAATTATAAGTTCATAATTAAAACACCAAAACCTTTCAAATGTTTACAAACACAAAAGTGAAAACAAATCAGTGTATCATCTCCAGAATCACTCATTCCGGTTTCCAAAACAAAAGATTGGTCAGAAACCAGGGGTGGAATTACCGTTTGAATTGAAAGATCCTCCTCCTGATTCCTTTTTACTAGTTTTGCTAATAATCCCTTTTCCAAAATACTCAGCAATTACTGAAAATCCATCTTTTGAATTCTTAACTTGCTTAAAAAACTGATCTTGATTCTTGGAATTTTGTTCCAAGTTTCTTTTCATTTCAACAACAGATCTGTACTCAGGGGCACATTCGGGACATTCTTTTTCATTGTCTCCAAGACAACGTTGATGAAAAGAATGCATACACATGAAGTGGACAGCTGGCAGATCGAGTGTGAAAGTACATGCACTACATTTGCTTAGTTGAAAGATTCTTGCATTTGTTCTTAAATCCTGGATTTCTTTTCTCATTGTCAGTGTTTCTTCCTGTAGAGTAGATTTCAAAGATGGAAATGAATTTTAACTATTAAAATATCAAAATCTTTATAAAAAATTTTAAAAAACAAACCTGGTATTTATCAATCATGCGACGATCCTCTTCAATAAGCTTTGACTCATGTTCCAATTTTCTAGCAATATAATCCCGAATAACAGAAAGAGTAAGACATGGATTTGAAGAAAGTGTTTGTAAAACCATAATAGGAGGCAAAATCTCATCTCTTTCAATATAATTCAAAACTTCTCTTACTTCTTTTGAACATTCTTCCCCTAATTCACCAAAATACTTCAATAAATCAGCCCATAAAGTCGGATCACCACCTTTCCCTGAATCCCCTAACCTCTTACAACAACCGATCAAGCCTTCATGATCATGTGACCTCATGTAACAAGCAATCACCTCTTTATAAAGTTTCAACTTTTCATAAAGATACAAAAGCCCTTCTTTAAAAGAATTCATTTCACATAGGATTATAGCCAAATCAACATCGTACAACGGTTGTTCTTGATCCAAAGGCCATGCGGTTTTCAACAACAAAAGCCCTTTTTGAAGCCTTTCTTCATGATCATTTTCCATGTTTTTCGTATCTTCTTTAGGTGATTCGAGTAATTTCCCATTTCCATTTGAAGTAGTTGTTGTGTCATTTTCTAGTGACATTGATGGGAAGTTTAAGTCACTTGACAAGTATAATTCCAATAAAGTGTTGTGGATTTCGACTTGTGCGGGTGAATCTTTGACTTTTGTTATATACTTTTCAAGAAAATTCATTAACGATCTTGGATAATGAACAAAAATGTTGAGAAAGTCAACGGGTGAAGGTAACATATAGGAATATGATGTCTCATTTGATGCCCCTTCAGTGCAAAGTCCCATGAGGATTTCGATTGTTTCCATTGGTTTATGCTCGATAAGTATTTTCCCATATTCTTTAACAGTGACCCCACTTTGACTTTGGTCAAGGCTAGAAATATACTGCAAAGCCTCATCATATCTTCCCAAATCCTCAAGCAAAATCTTTAAATACCATTCATGTCTTCCACTTCTTTTAGCAACAAACATTGCATGTTCATGATAATTCGCAGCTCTACAAACCCTAATCGCGGTTTCCACATCAAATTTAATCTCACCATCTTCACTTCTGATGAAAACATTCAACTTGTCAACATCTTTCAATTTGGTGTAACAGTTTAAGAGAAGGGTAGTATGGTCTTTCGACGCAAGACCCTTTTCGTGTAGCTTCTCGAGGTAATTTGTAAGGTTGTAGATTCTTTGTGCATCTAGGAACTTCTGGATGACATAAGAAGGTTCTAGATGACCAATTGTATGAATGTATTGACTCATGGCTTCATCAAAATCTTGCTTCATGTATAAATGATCACCATATTTTCTTAAAACTTCAGCAGTTGCAGCTGCATCAGCTTGTTGACTTTGAACAAGATTAATGGCGACTGTGTAAAGGTTTTTTTTGAAAAGCATGTCGAGTTTGCTTTCCATGTCTTTTTCTCCAATACATAAAGCCGATTTATCGTTCATGATAAGGAGGATGCTTCCCCATTCACAAAGCATATGAGAGACTTCTTTGGTTACTATACTGTGTGCAATTAATCGGTTTTTAAGGTCATAGATGTTGAAGGTGTTTGATCCACTTCTTTGGTCTGAAATTACACATAAAAGGTATCCACGAAACCACCCGAGGAACTTCTTTTCTCCTTCAAAAGCCCAACATGGACCTCTACCATCAACCTCATAGAAATATACTGCCTCAGGTCGACCAATGATAAGCTCCTAATAATTAACACCAAATTGCAATACACTTTTATGCTTAAAACGATAAACAATAACAATATACAGATACTAGCAATAAAGCAGAAAGCAGATACTGGCAATAAAGCAGAAAGGGTGATTGATACCAGGCGATCATTCATGGCGACACTATTGACATTACTTCCAATGTGATCAAGGGTTTGTCGAGCAGCTGGCTGAGTCTGCAAGTTAAACAAGCTTACAGAAGTTGGAGTAACTGCAAACAAATGAAAAGCTTTCCCATCAACACGAAAACCCATTCCAGTAATACCACATTGGGATTTATCTTGACTTTTCTCCACTTGAAGCATGAATCGTTTGATACGTTCACGTGCAATGTCACCTTGGATGCAATAAATGCAACCATTGTCTAGTCCAATAGCTATCAGCAATATTGGTGGAGCTTCTTCTAGAACTAGAAATGATGTTATCTGAACAACAACAACAAAAAAAAAAAAGTAACAACTCCGATTACTTTTACCCATAATGTTTACAAGAAAGTGAAAGTATAAAATTTTCAACCTTTGCTTCTGGGAATTGATTTGTGAATATTCGTAGTATTTGGATGCAATCAGGAATTGGTGTGCTTGTACCCTCTGGTTGAGTTTTATCTAGGTCAAAAACCTTGAGGCATACAGATGATAATTGTGGAGATATTTGTTCATCTTCTCCAACAGTTAGTAGGAAGTTGCGTTGCTGGTCAATTCAGAACAAAAATGGAAAAAGATTAAAACTTTCTAGTGTTGACTTGTTGCATACTTGGATAACAAAGCTGTGTATTTTTCTTCCTTGATAGTGTTAGCTATCAGGAATAGATGGAGCAAGAAAAACATCTTTGAAAGTGCATGATTAACCATTAGATAAGAAGATCAGAGGAAATTGTATAGCCAAAGCTGTAAAATTCTTCTAGATATTACAATTTCTTATCTTGTTTCTTGATCTTGAATTCATTCCTATCAACAAAGGTAACTGGATTTAGAAAACCTAATTTCATGTCATTCTGTATAGGAAAACCTAGAACCGTAAATCTGCACAAATGTGTTCTAGATTGCTAAATTCACGTACAACGTGATCAACAATGGGGAAATGGGTAATCAGGAATTATAGACAGAAAGAGAGCGATGAAAAAACCTTGAGTTGTTGAATGAATAAAACAGAGGAAGTGTGAGCTTGGAATCCATAGCTGAACTTAAAACCTCGATCTAGTAAACTAACAGTCCCATCTTCACATCCCACCGCGATTTTCCCCCTTCCGCTGGAGCAACACTCGATTTTTCCAGCGACTTCATCCGGGACCAAACATTTTCCGGCGTATTTCTCCTCAAAGAACTCGAATTTCCTCCATTGATACATGTTTCTTCAACGTATTGAAATCAAATCGGAGCCCAGATTATTCTACGCAATTGTAATCATCTCAATCTGTACAGGATACGCCGATAGTTGAAGAATATGTGATCGATCACATTGGAAAAGGACAAACTACACGAATGGTCCCTATGATTTGTGGTGATGTGCAAGTTTGGTCCCTAACTTAATTTTTTAACTCGAAAGATCCCTCAAACTTTAATTTGTTGAGTCTTTGGCCGGTAGCAGATTTGAAAAGACTAATTTGCCCTTATATTTTCTTTTTTTGGTTTTCTATTATTTATCACATTTTTAAATTAAAACAAAAAACAAAAAAACAAAACCATCGCCCACTCCACCCTCATTCCCATTTACCCAACATATCACTTTTCTCTCTCTCTCTCTCTCTCTCTCACTCTCTCTCTCTCCACCCCTTTCTACTGGTCCGGCTGTCTTCTTTGACCACCGGTCGTCACTCCCCCGTGGATGTTTTCCTTTGCCATCGACACCGACATCACAACACTCGAGGCTTCGTTAGTTCGTCTTCTCTGAGAGGTTTCATTATCCCTTTTCTATGCCGCCTATCAACCCTAATCACCCTAATCATTGTCGGGATCCTTTATTCTGACATATCATCAACGCTCTGTTGATCTGCAGAGGATAGTGTTGGATTTGTACCAAAGGGGAATCGAGATGCCCTAGTCGTCAACCACCACCGGACCGCCGACCTCCATCAATCTTGTCTCTTCCACCCTTCCTGCTGCTAGACAATCTTCCATATTTCCTGCTGCTTCATCATCGATCATTTTGGCATCTGGGGTTCAAAATTTAAAGATTGTAAATGTTTTGATTCTAGTATCTTATACTTGATTTTTATATTGGTTTTGGTTTTGAGGTTTGATTTTGAGGTTTATCAAGGTATGATTTCAGATTTGATGCTAAACTTTGTAATGATTTTGATCTTGAGGTTTATGAATGTATGATTGCAGAATATACCTACAATGTATGATTTCAATTTTCTGGTTTGATTCTGAGAATGGTTTTGATCTTAAGGTTTATCAATATATGATTTCGTTTTTCAACTTTAATTACGAGAATGATTTTGAGTTTTTTTAGCAGTTGTTAGCAGAGGTGATCGGGGATGTCGGAGTTGAACCGTAGTACCGGTGGTAATCGGTGTTGGTGGTTCTTTGAACAAGAAACATCGGGGGAGGATGGGGTAAGGATTAGTATGACCTTATTTTTTAAATAAATGATAAAAACATTTATTTTAATCAAATAAATCAGAAAAAAAAAAAAAAGATAAAGGTAAAATGGTCTTTTTACAGCTGTTAGGGACGACTTATGCAACAAAATAAAGTTTAAGGGATCTTCTGAGTTAAAAAAAAATATTAGGGAGCAAAAACGCAAATTACCACAAACCATAGGGAGCATTCGTATAAATTATCTCAGGCGAAATTAAATTAAAATCGTGAAAATAAAAAAGTGAAATGAGTGAGAACATGTTTGTTTTGTAGTCCTTGGACGTAGATATCCGTTTTCGACTTCAAGACCCGGATGCCATGTCCCCATAAGATATTTATTTAATTTTCTATTGTGTTTTTTTTTGGGATAATATATACTATATATATACTATTTATACATTATTACAAGTAAAATGATAAGTAAAATGATAAGAGCTTTTAGAAGACGAAGACTTTTAAAAATGAAGACTTGATATTTATTACTGGTGCATAAATCATGATCATGATCATGTTGCATTCATTTATAATGAGGATATGATTGAAGAGGTTAGTATGTTATGAATAGTTAAATGAAGACTTGATATCCAATCAAAATTTATGAAAGTCGAGTTGTTCTAAAAAGGCATTTACAGCATGTTGGGTCTTGCAAATCTTTCATGTAATGGTTCATATGTTACGTAATTTAAAGAAATTTGAGCCTCTTCTTAATTGGTAATACTTTATGCTAACCATGATGACATCTTCTATCTAACCATCTTTCAATAGAGATATGCCTTGGGATTCCTATAAGAGTGGAGTTGCATTGCTTCATATTTCATACATATAATGTATGTACTTTGAGTTTGTTTTTCAATATATATATATTTTTTTCTATCTATACATTATTTTTAAAGATGTATTACATATTTGTAACTCACGATAACATGTGCTCAAGTAAGAAGCATGTATTACAGTGGGGTTTAACAAGAGGAAATAGTCAATACAAACTTCAAGAATGATGCCTTTGTACATGTATAAAACTGTTTATAACTATTTTAATGAAGTGTTACTCATTTTATGTTAAACACTTATTTTATTTAATTTTATTTAATTTATTAATTTTTTAATGTTTTTTATTATTTAAAAGTACAAATATATCAAAAATTATAAGTTTTTATTCTCTACAATCATATATCAACATCTCGATATGTTTTTACAACAAAAAACTATGTTACATCTCTGATTCCATTCACATTTATATGATTATAGATTTTGGTCAAATAATAATCAACACAAGTTCATTTCACATTCACATGAAAATAGTGATGATGGTTCTTAGCTAAATATGCCACCTTGTCTGAAAAAATCTAAAAACACCATTTTAACATCTACCAATCAGAAAAGTAAAAAAATAAATATGTTAAAACTTAAAGGGGCCAATTTGGACATGCTTCTTTAAAAATGGATCGACTTGAATGATATTTTATCTTTGTAATGGATAAAACTAAAAAATCTTGGCTAAAAAGGAAATGGATCATATGGGTTGAAAGCATGTTGTTGTTTCTTGCATTTGACCCTTAACTTAATAATAGTTATTGTATCATGTTCAATACATTAGTTATTTAGAAAAATCAAAATACATGGACAAAGAGGTGTTAATTTGAAGATTAGAAACATGCCCGATTCTGAGCCTATATGTTTTGAAGTGTTTGTTAGCTCTTGAATGCATTTAATTAGTAAAATAAATAAAAATTTTGAGTAAATTCCATAATCAAATCTCCCTCCACGGTATATAGGAAATCTGATGATGATTAAATGATGCAGATGACACCGATTCTGAATGATCACTTTTAGTCTCAGCATAATCGGTTTCTTCTTCTGTATCCTCTTCAAGAGGATAATCCTGTATAATCTTTTGCATTAGTGAATGTAATGATCATCATCAGAAAGAAAGAAAGTTCACTAATAGGCAAACAAACAAAATCCTTAGTTCCTTACTATGCAGTAGGAATCTAAATTTTTTTTACAATATATAAATTGTTTAGAAAACGCCTAATACTAATACTCCCTTCCATTCCAAAAAATAAGAGCAATATGAGCCTCTCCCTTCCATTCCAAAAAATAAGAGCAATATGAGCCTCTTTATTTTTTTTCAAAATAAGTAGCATATCCAAAACCACTTTGTAGTAGAATTGAGTGAGTAAAAAAGTTAAAGGCTTGTTTGGTTATGATGAGTATTTCCAACATTCAAATTAGTCCAAAGTAAACAAAGAAAACTGTCATATATATTCACTTAACTTTTAAGAAACTTCCCACAAATGGTAAAAAGATAAAAAATGAAAAGAAACCCGCATAAATAGTTGGTAGATATGAAGAGTTGTAATTCCAAAAACCCAAAAAAGGATCATCTGTAGTACCATTTTAATATGTATGCATAGACGTTTCTCTATAGAAATAGAAACAATCATGTCAGAAACGTTGTATTTTTTAGATGAGTGGAAGTGTAGTGTTTAATAATCATGTATTTAAGTTGATGATTTTACAAAAATCAAGAGTTACAAGATTCAAAAAGAAACTACTAAAATCAAGAGTTACAAGATTCAAGTGTTTAATAATCATGTATTTAAGTTGATGATTTTATTATATTAATATTAAATACAAAAGAATATATTTATAATAAACTTATAAATAAATATTATACATGCGTTTATAAAAAGTATTACACATACATACTTTTAAATAAATATTATACATACATTTATATAAATATTAGACATACACACTTTTAATTATAAGTTTTTGTAAAATACGTTATCGTTTTTTAAAATTTCAATATGTATTTAAATTTTTATATGAAGTTGATGAACAAAAAACAAACTTTATATTTATAATTAATTAATATAATTTAATATATAACAAAATATTATCACTATTAAATATTATATTTAAATTATAATTAGTAGGTAAAAATGAACTAGAAATGTATAAATATATAAACAAAGGAGTTAAAACTGACAACACAAAGTTCATCCCCATTTTGGAAGAAATGAATAGTATAACATCATATTTGGTATAATACTATTCATATCCCCCAAAATAGGGAAATAAATGGGGGAGGGTTGGAGAAGAATGGGGGAAGAAATGTGGGAAAATGAAGAATGAGAGTGGGTTGGAGATGCCCTAACAGTGCGGTAAGTTCCTCTGACAAAAGTTCGCTGCGGACGCCATTGATAGAAGTTTGATCAGAGTGTGCCACGCGCCTCCGTGAGCCACCACGATTCTTTTTGGAACAATCAACGATGGCCCGTGTTTCGTTCTTTTTGACTTATGATAAGCAATCATTCATGCCGATATAAAGAAATCAGCAACAAACCCCAACTAATAAACATATTATAGAATGATTCAGGCCAAACACTTTTAATACGATTTGACTTGGGGTTCAAATAGACTTTGTTTGGACTTTGGAGTAGATAATTTTGTTTAATTTGATCATTTATAAGGTAATCAATTTTTTAAAATTTATATATTTAATACTTTTAAAATAAATTTGGATACTAAACTAATGTTTAAAACATATATTATTTTGACCGTCATGGTCCAATCTTGATTCAGGATCTAATTGATGAGTTAGGATAGGGTCTCCTCATCTTTCTAGTTTAGGGTTATTTCGTTCAAATTTATATTATTCATTTCTTCTTCTCCTGACATTTCCAATTCCACGACAAGATCGGAAGATAGACATCCTTGTTAGTGTATGTTTTAATCTTGAATATGGACATCATGGATGAACAGTCGGAATCTGGGATAGTCGGTGCTACCTTTCAAATTTTTTGGCGCGGTAGAATTTTTTTGAAATATTTTTCAATATAATGGAATTTTTCTACTGTGCTTTACGTTTTTTACCCCTGCCATTTTGTTTTGGGTCCGTCACTGTGGATAACTCTAAAAAAATGTTTAAAGTAGATCATGGATTAAAAGAAGGCTTAAAAATTGTAGTTGTGTTACCTTTGTTG